TTCCGCAATTTAACGTGAGTGGCAGTGCCGATTCGGGGTCAACTAAAGGCCTGAGGTAATACGATCAAGGCGGATATGGAACGATTGGGTCCCCAATTCGTATATGATACTCAACCGTAACTAGAACTGGATTTTACACCGCATCAACCTTGCAGTCAATCGCCATCTATGGATTTTCATCCTCAGAGATGTCTAAAAAGCCGAAGTCTAAAAGCCATATAGCAGTTAGTCGATTAGAACTATATGTAAGTAGACTAAGTCCTAGTGGGACAATCAAATTAGCCCTAATAAAGCTCATCACTGAGTTTTGGCCAATCACGGTCGCTTACTGACTCAATTGTTTGACTTTCGTGGATTTCGATGACTGCAGTATGTTCTGCGCATGCCACCGACTAGTCTTCATCGTTGTACAATGTGTCCTGAAACAGGTATTAGGTGAAAAATCTGAAGATGGTCAGAATAAAACTTGGCATGAAAATATAGAAACCCTAATCCAAAATCGAACGTGTGGGACTTCATGTTTGAGGATGCTGTAACCAACCCAGTCAACGCTTTACCTATGGTCGAGTGAAGGTTCACAACAAACTAAGTAGGCCGCTCGTTATCAGCAGTGGCGTTCACTAAGGGTGCCCTATTTCGCCATTCCTATTCAACTTCTTCGTAGATGAAATACTAGATAACTCACTAAGTGGTCTCCAAAACGTAGGTATTGAATGTATAGCTGGAGAAAAACTGTGTGATTTAGAGTACTCTGACAATATCGTCTGTCTGTTCGAATGTGCGGAGGACGCGTAAAATACACCTGATAAATTAGCCAGGACTGTTGACACGTTGGGTATGTGCTTTGCACCTTGAAAGTGCATATTGATGCTGCAGGCTTTGGAGACACTGAGGGATATGACAGCGAACCGACGTGGCGTGGCGTTTTTGTTTTCAGGTCAGAATGGTTGAAATGGTGTGTGTGTGTGTGTGTGTGTGTGTGTGTGTGTGCACTCTTTGACCATAAAGGTTCAATTTCTTTCTCCATCTCCGAAACTAGGCCTACTCCTTGCGCATCTTACATATTTTCACTAATTTTGTATGCATTGCAATTTTGGTAGCGATCTGTGAAGTTCGATTCACGCACTGTATTTCGCTGTACAACAACAACTACGACAGCACTGCTTGAGGACTCATCGTAAGGTGAACATTTAACCAATAAATCTGTGACTTGATTGGAATTCGAGTTAATGTCAGTGATAATAACGATGCATAACTTTTTTCAGAAGCTCATGATCTCTACCACTTGTTCCAAACATAAATGCCTGATTGGTTGAAAATCTGTTCTGTAAAACAGCTACCTATGCTTTTCATCCAATCTTTTTTCCCCTCTGTCTCTATTTTATCTTTCAGACCGCCTCGGGAGTTTTTGACTTTCTTTCTAGTCATGTATCCATGTTCGGGGAGACGTCAGAGATATTGTCCGACATTATGGCAGCCTATTCGGTTACAATGCAAGCGCAAGCTCAGGAATGTGTGTTCTTCAAAGCTGAATCAGGTAAGATTTGACTCAGTAATCATTCATAATCATGTTTAACCTAGGACCCATTCCAGCAGAGATGGTGGCTAAGATCGCATCAAAGGCACGTGAGTTTTATGAAGAGGCTCTAAAACGATGTTCCGTTTCAAGTTGCAAACACGGAATACCAAAGGTAATGATATAACCACCAGTCATTGTTTTATGCTGCCAGGATTGGTTCAGTAATCTTCAAATGAAAGTTCAATTGATGAATGCCCTTGCGCAATACCATCAAGCGAAAGCTTGCGGAGAATCTCGTACCTACGGTGAACAAGTTGCTCGACTCGGCGTGAGTTGCATATGATGGTCTAACGGTGATTTTCATGTGTTTATCTTTATATTTTTTTATTACACACATTTGTGATGATCAGCAGACGGGGTGAACCCCATATTCACGAGGGTCCTCTGTTCGGTGATAGAAACCGGTAACCCAAGCCCCGGGATTTGGAGTGGCGAACCTGTATAAGGCTCCTCTAGGTTTTGGCGTCGTATTGAACCGGACGATAGGAAAGCTGTCCAACTGTGTCATCACTTGTCACAGCAAAACCAAAATAAAATCGATCCTCATCGTCCAACTGTTACTAAGATGACCACCTACGGTGCCCGCTAGGTATCAATCAATTTTCTCAGTTCAAAATAGTCCCGGTTATTTGTGACAGATTGAGAACAATGTGGACTGCATTTATCAACTACAAGGATAAATTTACGCTGTTTTACTATACTACCACAATTATAATATTTCACACACATCTGAATCCAGACTTTGCCGAACAAATCATGGTACAAGGCAGGTGAATTTTCTTCAGAAATCCACAACCGGAGCCTTTGGCTGACCAAAGCCTGACCTGCAAGGCAGTGAGGCGGTGTGAAAACCGCAATCCATTGGAGACCGATGTCCAGTTCATCAGATCATACGCCTCTCAGACGGGATCAAACGTTCAAGATGCCCAATCGAGCCGGGATTAAATCGCTTCGGGAACATTCTTTGGGCCATACTGAGGAGAAATAGACGTGTGTATCGGCATTTTTGGTGATTCTTACCAAGAATTCATGAGTACTCCTGGATAGGAACCTTGCACAAAGGATAGTCAGGACCGCACTGCCCATTGGATCGAGCGGAGTAGGTAGTCATAAGTGGGCTACTGCTCAGAGATCCCAACTTTTGTTTAACTCTGTCTTCTACACCCAACCCTCGTCCTTTGTCCCTTCTTCCGACCCATATCATCTCATCAGGTAACATGTTTGTCGCTCACCAGGTGGCACTCTCAGTAGTTTACCACAATACAGATTCTGAAGCCTCGTCAATCACTGAATCTGGGGACCTCCAACGTAAGGATCCCTGATGGGGGTAGAACAGAAAACGTTTCTTGCGCGTACAATGGACTCTTCGAAAATCGATGTCTGTTCTGTATCAAAGTCAAATTCAAAATTCTAGTAGTATAAGCCATCTGCGTACACCGGGCCTGTCCTCAAGTTACTTTCTTCGCAAATCATGAGACGACGAAGCACGTTCTTTTGATCAGCGAGGTGTAGGAATCGTACTAATCGGTAAAGCTGAGGCCCCGTTGATAGATTGGATACCCGAAAACAATCGTTTGTGCGCAACGAGGCTCCAGAGTTCAGTTAGTGACATCCAACCAACTGCAGTCCCAATTCACAAAAGGACGATTTTTTGACAAACTCGCCGAACTCATCCGATTGAACCGTAGCTTTGATGTTTTAGTACTGGTAGGTGCTTTCGACGCGAAGGTTAGAAAGCTAAGCGTATCCCAAGGTGGTCTAGGGGATCGCTTCGCTCTTCGTGTTCTGCGACCAGCTAGCGGGGATTGACTACTTCAGCTCTACACAGGTCACCGGTTTTTTTATGTAGCATCAACTTCGACACAGCTCTCGTCGGACGGCAACATGGTGTTCTAGTTCCACGAGAAAGTTGACCCAAATTGACCATACAGCAGTAGGCTATCGTTGGCGTGGTTCATTATAAAATTGCAGATCCTACTGGACCACTTGCGTTAAGCGGGATCACGCACTACTTCTGATGTTCTTCCCGCTTTCACTCATTGGTCATCGTCAAAAATCGCCTACCCATTTAGCTCATTGTCCGCGCGATCGATCTGTTGGCGCACGTTATGAGGAAAAGTTTGAACAGGAGCTAGGAACACTGCAAGATGGCGGATTAGACCAACAATGGAACCAGATCAGATGTGCAATGCATTTGGCAGCAAACTCTACTTGTACAGCTGAGCCAAATGTTGGTCGAAGACATTGGATCTCTCAGGAGTCAGTAATCCTGATAGAACAAAAGCGAAAGATCCCAATCTGCCAGGATCAGCATACGAACAGGTGGCTCCTGCAACGTCATCTCAGGAAAAGCCTTAAGAAAGATTATGAAAACTGGTGGACCAAAATAGCTTGTGAAACGGAGGTAGCTTCTGTATCAGGGAATTGTCAAAGATTGTTTCACCTGATACGCAGCACCAGAGGTCCTCACATATCGGCCAGTGAGACCATTTGCGATAAAAGTGGACAGAGTATACACAATAAGGAACAAATTGATCGCTGGCAGAGTATTTTAGTGAACAGTTCAATTAGCCTGGTGCTAATGCAGTTCTTCCAGCGAATGCAGCGGAAAATCCATGGGTGGTAACATGTGAGCCTCTAACAGAATCGGAGGTACGAAGCTGTATTCAATCAATAAAGAAAGAGAAGGCTGTGGGACTTGATGGGTTCCTCTCCATTCTTTTCAAACTGGTTGGTGACTACCTCGTCGACTTTATTACTAGCTTACTTCGCAGCACCTGTTCGGAGGAGCGTATCCCTTTATCCTGGTGTGAATCGTTGATCGTTCCTATCTTCAATAACGGATCATGTAACCACTGTGCAATCCGCCATGGGATAAGTTTAGTTCCGATAATCACAGAAGTATTAGCTTCTGTAATACTTCGCCGCCAGACACCTTTAAGGGAGATGAATATTCACGAACAGCAAGCAGGATTCCGACCAGGTTGCGGTTGCATCGACCAAATCTCCACTCTACGTCATGCCCTCGAATTACACCACACACGTAGTCGATAAAAAAATGCAGTGTTCCTTGACCTGGAAAGAACCTTCGATTCAGCTGACTGTGCATCTCTAAAGGAATACTGCGGAAGTATGTAGACCTATTGCGGTCACTGTACTTGCATACTTCGAGTGGCGTTAGGGTTTATGGTGGGCTAATGGGATCTTTTTGTAACTGGGTGTGGTGTTCTTCAAGGGTGCCCTATTTTACCATTCCTATTCAACTTCGTCGTAGACAAAATACTGGAGAACGCCCTAAGTAGTCTCCGAAATGTTGATATTGAATGCACAGCTAGAGAAAATTTGTTCTACTCGAAATGCACTGACGGCAACGTTAGCTTTTTCGACTGTATGGGGGATGTACTAAGCGCTATTGACAAGCTTTCTGTAATTCCATTCGGTATGCGCTTTGCTCCTGGAAAGTTCAAAGTGATGCTACAAGATTGGGTGTCATTTACCTCGGCTCTGATGCTTGATGGAATGAGCTACAGGGGACTGTTCCTTCTACTTAGGCATTTGAGTGACGAATGCTGGTGGTGTATTCAACGAAGTAACTACCCGCATTTCCGAGGCGCAAACAGTGTACGCAGGACTGAAGCGCCTTTGCTGCCGATGTGATGTTTCGTTGGAACTGAAAGGTTGCATGTACTACGCCAGTGTGCGATCAGTTCTGATTTACGGTTGCGAGACCCTAAATTTACTCGTGAAAGGTATTTGTCGACGAGAAGTCTTCGAATTCCGATGTTTACGTAGTTTGGCGCGGGTTGGATGGGGCGAGCGTGTAAGAAACTTTGAGATAAGCCGTCGCGTTTCTGGTAACGTTTCGGTCAAAAATTCGTTATCACATGAAACCTAGATCAGTAGCCTGCGCTAGTCAGAACACGTAATTGCGCATGCCCAGGTGCCGTTTATCGCCCTATTCGAAGTTGCAGCTCCAGGTTGGAGAAAACCACGTCTAGGTCAACAGATGACGTGGAAGCGAGACATGAATAAATGCACATAGCGGTTGGATAGAATAGGTGTCTTCCCGGTTGGAACCGGAAAGACTGTTACTGGCTGGTTAGAGACACTGAACGATATGGCAACTAACCGATAGCAGTAGCGTTCTTGTTATCATTTCTTATTAGATCCGAATGCTTGAAAAAGTGCATGCACTGTTGGGTTGTACACTTTGTATTAACCACAGAGGTTTCTTTTCTTTTCCGCCTTCCAATTTAACCCAAACCCTATCCATCTTTTACGTTCTAACTTTGTCCAAATTGAGATCTGGGAAGCGGTAATCGAAGTTCATTTTTCTGTATCTCACTGCACGATGATAATGACGATGACATAGGATGTTTCTACTGTCGTTTTTCACCGCACATTGAAAGCAGTGAATAACGAAATGTGGTGGTGGCGCAGTGGTTTAGTCGGTGTGACCGGCGTGCTTGGGACCCTGTGATTGAAAGTTCGAGCCCTGCCACCGACTTTGGTGGTAGGCCGCTTTGCTATCGTCCGGTTCAATACCACGCCTAACCTGGAGGGGCCTAATGTGATGAGGCACTCCAAGTTCCGGGGCTTAGGTTGCCGGTTTACACCACTGAACAGCAGGTCCTCGTGACAATGGGGTTCGCCTGTCTGCTTTTCATCACACTTAGGTGTGTAAAAAATGTGATAAATAAGGGAGTGTGCGTGCGTAAAAATCCAGATCATCTTCGTGATAAATTTATGGTTAGTCCTTTGAGAGCAAACCAGGTGTATTCAGTAACGATGACTAACTCAGGAGATCGATCAGGTGATTCCGATTGTACATAAAAATGGGAATAATCCCCTAGGAGGAGAATCCATTTGGTGTACATTCGTTAAAAATTGGAACAATTAGTGATTCAATCCATGGTGTTGGTATAAGCTACTCGAAATAGGCATACTATTAGACTCTAGGACTGATACTCCCCGACACCATCGTGGGAAAACGATGGGACGTAGAGGGAAGAGAGAGCTCGCCGTGCATATTTTCAGCGATTAAATACAAGATAGTACTTCTGTTTCTGTTGCGGGTCCGCCAGACTTCACTCATTTAGCTCCAGCTGTACTCACCGAAGTCCTCGTGATATTGCCAGATCTGCTGAATTGTTCTCTACCAACTTGAGATATTTGTGGTGCCGTCGTGACATCTGGCTGTCTGTGAAGGGTCGAATGTATACTGCAGAGACTTGGCCTCTACGGGAGCAGGATGAAAATAAATTGTCGGTGTTCGAACACCGTTGTCTACGTCGCATTGCGCGAGTCAGGTGAGGCAGCCGAACAAGCAGTGCTGAGGTAAGGCGCAGAGTTTTAGGCAGTCGCGGTCGTCCACTAGAGGAAGTGGTCAACCTCCATAAATCACGTTGGTTGGGGCGTGTTACGCATATCATCGAATAGATTCCCACGGCGAACGATGTTTTTCGAAGCAGGTAGCGGTTGGAAAAGGGTCAAGGTTGGTCAAGCTAAGACCTGGCATAAGAGTATGAAAACCTTAATCAGGAGACTAGGTCACATAAGTCCCGTTAGGCTCCCTGGCTGGGGACCCCGAGACCATGGTCACCGATGGTTAGAGACCGAGTGATGTGGCTAGGTGTCGCAAACAGTGACGCTCGTGCATCCACTCATTGTTTTTCTATCATCACTCTATATGAATCCTCCATCTTACGCTTGAGTTTGCTTTCAACATTCCAATCTTCATTCTGCTCTTTTATCCAAGTGGGGCACCAAAAAACAGCAACCAAAACCGGCGCACGAAAATGTATAGTTAGTGGTTGTAAAAATCGAAACAGAAACCTCTGCAGGACTCGGCCCAGCGATTAAACCGTCCTAGAACATTCACGGTTAAAGGATTTTATGTGGACAAGTCAGCAACGGGAAGCGAAGAGATTTAATCTTTCTGAGTAGAAGAAAACATTCATTGTTAGTTCATGTTCAACTTGTCTGTACCGATTCCAATCATACTCTGTCATTTTTTTCAGTTGGCCTACGATTTAATGAAACAACTAGCGTCGCGTTACGGCAGTGCCTTCTCACGTCGATCCATGGTGGAACAAATCAAACGTGAACGAGATACGGCTACCAAAGACAACGACTTCATTTATCACGAACGGGTACCTCCAGCCAAAGATCTCA